CAAGCATGTGTGATCCCTAAACTCATATTTTTTTTCCATTATGTCACACTGCCTCATCAATAAAGTCAGAGTCAATGTGTCTGTTAAGATATTGAGAATGAACTGGGCATGGTTGCACATGCCTTTAATCCCAATACTCAGGAGGCAGAGGCTGGTGAATCTCTGTGTGTTCAAGACAAGCCTGGTCTACAAAGTGAGTTCCAGGCCAGCTGGAGCTACAGGGAGACCCTGTCTCAGAAAGACCAAAGCAATAAAAAATTAAGAATGGGGGCTGGAGAGATGACTGTGTTTTTTTTTTTCTTTTTAAAGATATTAAGAGTGAAGAGTGGAACTTTCTTGTTGAATAGAAAAGAAAGGTTCCTAGATACTTTTCTCTTTTTGAAAGTTTTTTTTTAACATATATTAGTTGTACATAATAATAAGTTTGATTATGGTATTTTCATCCATGTGTGTAATGTATTTTCAGTCATATTTACCCCCAGCCATTGCCCTCTCTTGTTCCACTTCCATTCCCACGAATGGCTTTCCTCTTCCCATCGAGTCCCTCTTCTACTTTCATGTCTTTTTGTGGGGGAGTATGTGACCCAATGAGTTTAATTACAGTTGCTTACAGAAGCGTGGGTGATGGGTTATTTCAAGAACAGGGGCAAGTTAACAGTGGTAGGTATTGTTTACAGTGTCTTTCCCTCCCTGAGCAACCATTAGCTGCCTATAAATCCTCAGGGAGACTCAAGGCCTAGTTTTTGAGGCAGTATATCACTGTGTAGCCCAAGCTGGTCTCTAACTCATTAGATAGCTCAGAATGTTCTCAAACTCATTTCTTTTCTCAGCTTCCTGAGTGTCAGGATACAAAACTGTAGCATCATGCCCGAAGGACACTTTGCAAGACATATTTTTTAGAACTTAGTAAATCAGTACTCTAGAGCATTAGATCACAATTATCAACCTGTACATATGGATTTATTTTAAAGTCTACATATTGTTATTCTGTTGCATAAATTAATGTGACTACTACCCTGAGAATATTAGGTTGAGGAAAAATGTTCAAATACTATAATATTTCAAAAGTGTTTTTCTTTAAGCAGGGATTACAATCTTAGGAACAAAGTGACTTCTTGATAGGTATTTAAAAATAGTTTTTAAGGGCCTGGAGAGATGGCTCAGTAGTTAAGAGCACTGACCCAGGTTCGATTCCCAGCACCCACATGGCAGCTACGAACCGTCCTTAACTCCAGTTCCAGGGGAATCCGAAGCCCTCTTCTAACCTCCCTGGCATTGCATGACACGGGTGAACTCACATACATGCAGACAATACACTCATACACATAAAATAAAAATAATAAACTAAATATTTAAAAAAATAGTTTTAAATACTGTAATGCTTGACCTCTTTCAAATAATCATTTTACGATTTTAGCAATGAATTTCCTTAGGTTCATAGGTAAACATCCTTTCTGGCATCAGCTTTATTATTTTTGGATCTCTGTAGTGTAAATTTTGATAATCTGGCTGATCATGTGCATTTCTAGAGACAGCAACAGAATTAGCAAGAGATATGAGTTCTTGTTATGTAGCCTGGGATCAGTGACATTAAGCTTAATTTTTGCATGTGTATCTGTCTTTGGTGTGTGTGAATATGTGTATGCTTGTTCATATATGTGTGTCTTCCTCAGTCACCATGTGTTATTTGCTGAGACAGGGTCTCTCAGTGAGCCTGGACCTTAACATTTCTGAAAGTCTAGATAGCCAACTTGCCTTGAGATGCCCCTCTCTCTATATCCTGAATGCTGGGATTATAGATTGGCTCCCGTGCCCTCCTGACATTTTTTATGTGGGTGCTAGGGTTCCAAACTTCAGCCCTCATATTTATATGGAAAGTGTATTATCCATTCAGCCATTTCCCCAGCCCAACATTAAACTTATATTGCAATTTTTTGTTATTTAAATAAACCTATGCTAGGCTGGGTATGGTAGCTCACACCTTTAATCCCAGCACTTGGGAGGCAGAGGCAGGCAGATCTCTGTGAGTTCAAGGCCAGCCTGGTCTACATAGTGAGTTCCAGGACAGCTGGGGCTACAGGGAGACCCTGTCTCAAAAAGACAAAAAAAAACCAAAAACCCTATGCTAGCTGGGCATGGTGGTGCATGCCTTCAACCCCAGCACTGAGGAGACAGAGGCAGGCAGATCTCTGTGAAATTGAGGACAGCCTGGTCTACATATCGTGAGTTCCAGGTCAGCTGTGGTTGCAGAGAGAACCTGTCTCGGAAAAACAGCAACAAAAAAACTATGTAAAACCAGAAAGAAATCAAAGGAATTATGCTCACTGATTTTTTTTGCAGATTAAACTAAATAGTATTCTTATTTTTCTTAAAAATATGTACTTCATATATTAATTTAAATTCTATTATTGGTGTTGTGCTTTGAAGTACAAACTAGTTTTGCAGTCTCCCAGGAGTGAGTTATGTTTTGATTTTTCATGTTTTTTCTTTAATTTTTAAATTTCTTTTAAATTATCATACAAAGTACTAGATAGCATTATGGATTTTTTGAACAAAGTGTATTTTAATAGGGTTTCTTCCCCGACATCTCCCCCGCTCCTCGCCCTGCCCTCATCTGCTCTTGTACCCAGTGTCTTTTCTTGTTTTGTGTTATATGTATTTTTTTTTGCATACCCCATCCATCCTCAGTGCCCATTTTTACCCTTTTTTCCTTTCTAATCTTTTAGACTTTACTCACATTTATTCCCATATAAAATTTGCAGAAAAATAGATGGACCTGGAAAGCATAATATTAAGTGAGGTGTCCTAAATTCTTCCATTGTTAAAAATTACATTTTTATTTATTTATTTTCTGTGTCATGGTACATATATGTACCACAGTGCACATGTGGAGGTCAGAAGACAACTTGCACGTGGTTCTCTCCTTCCACCATCTGGGTCTTGGGGATTGAACTCAGATTGTTAGGCTTGGTGTCAGATAGCCTTAATAGCTCAGTCATCTCACCAGCCAGCCTCCTTTTTTTTTGTTGTATATGTGTACATGTGTGATATGTGTTTTTATGTGCTGAGCAGTTTTTTTTTTTCTTTCTTAGAGAAGGAGTCTCATGTAGCCCAGGCTAGCCTCAAAATTGCTATGTAGCCAATGATGACCTTGAACTCCTGATCCACCCGCCTCCACTTCCTCAGTAATCATATGTGCTTATGGGCATCACTCAGGCCCGTGTGAACGGTCAAAACCATCATCTAGGAGTCTGTGACCTTACCTGATACCTCACCATTTCAGGCAGAGTGTTTGAGGGTTCAGGTTCCACTCCTGCATTTGCTGATCCAAGTTCCAGATGGCTGATTTGGCCTGGTACAGGGTGGAGGGTAGGTTTGGGACTTCTTGCTGCTGAAGTTCAAGTTGCATATGCTCTTTAGTGCTTAGAAGTCTCATGATGCCAGAGACTCACAGCTTCCTGCAGGTGTCATTGGCCACTAGATTCTCATTTTCCCACTTTGTGCTCTGGGGGAAGGAGGTCTTTTTCTTCCTCAGTCAATTCACATGGGCAAAGAACTTTAGGTGTTTATTCTCCTTTGAGTTGTTGGACCTGGAAAGGTTTTCTTCTTCTTCCCTCATTGTGATACTTAGCCCCAAAGCACCTGCTTGGGGAGGGCACTGGGTTGACTACATGTTTGTGTTTTAGGCCAGAGCTTTTCATTTTCAGCAGTGTGCACCAAGGAAGGAAAACCAGGTGGAGGCTTGTCTGAGCTGTTATGGAGCTTTTTGCCTGGGTTACCAAGATTGGACATGAGTATTGGTATAGAGATGCCTTTGATGTGGGAAGGAGACAGTGGCCATTGGTTGCCAAGGGCGAGCTTGCCTAGCCAGCAGCCAGCCTGAATGAAGCTGCTACTGAGCCATGGCTCTTTTGATTGTGGCATGAGTATGTGCTCCACACATAGCCCATGCCTTTGAATCTGGGGTCTGGGAAACGGGATAAGAAATGGGGCTAACTGTAGGTTTGGCTAGTGTTAAAAGATGAACTGTTCTGGGTTGGAAAGATGGCTCAGCAGTTAAGATCACTGGCTGTTCATGTAGAAGACCGGGCTTTGATTCCCAGCACCCACATGGTGGCTGGCAACAGTTTGTAACTCCAGTTATAGGGGATCCAGTGCCCTTCTCCACAGGCGCTGCATGACACAGGTGCACTTACACACACGCAGGCATAACACACATACACATAAAATAAAAATAAATTTAAAATTTTTTAAAAAGGTGAACTGTTGCCCTGGAATCCTAAGCTGGGTTAGTCCTCAAGACCTGAGCTTCCAAATTGTGTGCGAGACAGTGAGGCAGGCAAGTTCCTCTGGTTGGCAATAGGCAGTGGGAGCATCATCCTAAAACCCAGGAGATACTTGAACTCTTCATTCTTACTGACAGACCCCTATCTTCTGTAACTGGTTCATTTTTTGGCAGCAACTGGGTAAGGAGTGAGACTTAAAGATCAGATTGGACCTTAAGCCCAGACACATCACTCCTGTGTATGGACTGCAAGCAGCCTGCTTGGGGAGGGAGTGGGGCATGCACTCATCACCCTGAAAAAGTGACATAGCAGTCAGGCCCCTGACAGTTTTATGTGAACAAGTATTATGTGAACAAGTAGAGGCAACATATTCTGCATCTACTCCCACAGTGGATTCCACTGTCTGTGTTATATGCAGTTACTTCCTCCTGCCCTGTCTGGCCCACAGCTGCTGCCAGTGCCTCATATTCCTGTGGTGGGAAACAGGCTTCTAGTTTTTATCTATTTTTATCTTGTATTCCAGATGAAATAGAACCTTAACAGATAAAACCTAGTAGTCTACTGTCCAATATAGGAGGATTTTAGAAACTGTGTCTTAAAAGTGTATAAAGTAACAGAGTACTTGCATATTTAACATATTTCCCCCAGTATTTATCAGGAACTGGAAATGATGTCTTTTTATATACAATGATCTTTTTGATATATCTTTCTCAGATGGGGAAGCTGACAACCATGCCTGCAGGTCTGATATATTCATCTGTAAGTGTACATTTGGCTAAAGAAGAGGAATCCAAAAATCAGCCAGTGAGACCAGAACAGGTATTTTGCTTACAAAAATTTATGAACTTTTTTGTGATAAAAACAGTGGAAAAGCTATGTAGGACTTTTTTTGCTGCCTTTATCATAAGTATCTTTGATATTTCTGTTATGTGTTTTATAAGTGGAAGGAGTTATGAGGTATTTTAAAAGAAACCGTGTATTTAATAGAAACATCTAAAATTCTAACTTCCAAAAATGGTGATTTTTCTTAATGGCAAATCAAGAAGTATAGGGTCTTAGAAAAGTAGGATGACATAGGGAAAATAGAGTTGACAGCTTCTTACTGAGTCCCTCCCAACTGGACACTATTGGTTATAGTGTGTATGGGGGGGGTGGTTACTTGAACTGTGGACTCTTACCTTTCCCAAGGTTTATGCTGATGTTGAGCCTTTATTAATCAAGAGTCTAAGGTCTACCAGATCTGTCTTCGCTTTAGTAGTTTTCCTTTTTTGTGTACCAGAGGCTCTGTTGTCCACACTTATGTCTTCAGTCTGTGGGCTAGACAAGTTTTTACTCACCTCATACTACTTGGCTTGTACCCTCTGTGGTGGCTGATGTTCTAGTTGGGAAGTGTTTCCCGGTTATGTTAGGAATATGAGAAGCAGCCATAGCCCTGAAATGTGTGCAGAGGGCCTGTCTTTGCACTTTCAGGACCTTCTTCAGTATTAATCACAAACCTTAATTATTATATTATTATCATCTAACTATGTAATAATTTAATTGTTATTTTAATTACTATATTATCTGAATATTAATCACCCAGCTTGAGAGATTCAGCTGTGTGTATCAAGTAGACCACTGGAACATCAGAGTTCTTGAGCTCTACAGCAGACAGAGGGTAGACAGGTGGCTCCAGAGAGTGATTCACCAACTGAGCTTAGGCTCAGAGCTATCAACTCCAGGGAAATTCTCAGTTGATAAAATCTGCTTCCAGCAACTGATGGTTCATCTATCCCTCTCTTTGTGTTCTTCACTGCCTCAGCAAAGCCTCCTGTGACCTTCACTTTTCTGCTTGTCAGTATCTGGCCCTCCCATTTTCTCTTCACAGTTGCTTCCTGGGACTTTCTCATGCTCTTGGGTTGAGGCAGGTTAAATTCAGGCTCTCTTAACTTCTTGTTTCTTGTTCTCAGCCACAGGGTAACTCAGTTTTAAATGTTAAGTTCTCTGTCAAGAGAGTGCCTGACTTCTGCCTTTCAAGTCATACAGAGTGACATAGATTCCCCTATACTACTGCCTTGTCCTCAGGAGGAATTACTATTGCCCCCAAACCTGTAGCTGGTTTTGAAGTTGGTGAGAACTTTGGGCTTGTCCTAGAAGTAGGACTTTCAGTCTCTTTCACCAGGGCTGCCTGGCCTGTCTTTTGAGGGCATCTTTTGCTTCCCATCCATCAAAGGTGAGCCACATGGAGCTGTATTCAGCTGGGCTTCTTTTCCTTGAGTCTTTTTCAGCACATTTTTCAAGCGTCACTGCCATTGGGAATTTCAGACTCTCTTTCTCTGTTTAGAATTAGAACCTGTCTTTTCTTATTTTGACTTGTCTCCTCTACCAGGTTACAGGGAGGCAACTTCTAGTCTGCCATTTTACCTGGAAGTACCTAAATATTTCTGAATTTCAAAATTAAGTAATATGGTTTTGCTGTATTATAGAGTATACAGAATCCCCAAATATATGTTATTTGTGTAATTAGTTATATATTAAGCAAAGCTGATTAGTAACTGTGTGTTAGGAACTATTAACAAATCAGGATCTAATCTTGAAAAATTTTAAATGTCTTAACGAATGAAAAATATGATTAACATGCACCATTTCAAGGTACTTTCGTTGTGTAATGAGAAGTATACCTCTGTTTAGTTCTGTTAATATATGCTCTGATAAACCAAAATACTTTAAGAATTGAAGAATTCTGGTTATTTGAGTTTTTGATAGATTTCTAGCTAAACAGAAAATCCTTTTAGGTTCAACATTTTTATAAAGGATCAATATGTTCTTTCCTTTTAAGTGGCATTTAATGAGCATAATTAAATCATCCTTTAATAGAAAACTTTGCAATATCATGGGGCAGCCATTTTTTAACCATGAAATGTGGAGTGTTTAGATCACTGTAATGACTGTTTTTTTTTGCCTGCATATATACAGCGAGATGTAATTGGCTTCCTACATATAGCAAGCCATAAATATCCCTAGATATTTCTTTTTTAAATTCCTCAATAACATGAATTTGACTTCCTTTGTTGTCATTTGCTTGTTTTTACCAAGAAATAATAATAAGAAAAAAGCTACAGATTTGAGAGTTATACTTACTTTGGTTCAATTTAATTTTAAATGTAGTTTTATAGGTTAATCTAGTCATAATTTCTACCTAAATGTAAGCAAATTGAATTTATATAGTAAGTGGCATGTTAAGTCCAAGGCCTGCAATCGATAATAAAACCGTTCTCTCTATAAAGAGTACAGTAGTATCCTGTTTGCTGACTAAAAATTCTCACAGTAAAACTGCTGTTCTTTTATCATAATCTTTCAATTATGCTTGAATATGCATGCCTGAGAAGGACAATAATCAGGTTCATAACAGTTCTGACCCCTTTCAAAGGCTGATGAAACTTTAGATGTCTTTCCTAAAAAATGTACTTAAAATTTTGCTTACAATAGATCACAAATGAACATTTTTTTTTACAAATGATCTTTTTATTTAAACTTCCAATATAATGTATACTGGGGTACAAAATTTGAATCAGCAAATTTTGACGGGGATGGGGACAGAATTGGAATACTAAATAAGCTAGCCTGGTGGCATACCCCTATAATCCCAGCACTTGGGAGGCAGACTCAGGAAGACCCTGAATTATAAGCCAGCCTAAGGCACATAGTGAGACCCTGCCTTAAATAAACAAGGGCTGGGGATAGTGCTCATTTCCAGAGCATTTGCTTTAGCTCATGCAAGCCCTTCATGTTTCATACCCAGTACCACAAAAACCAAAAACACATAAATGATTAATAAAGTGTGCATTTTGGGAGTGTAAAAGGCAGACAGGCAGGGGACATGAAACATATGTTAATAATTTTGCCCACTTATTTTATATCAATACATCCACATCTAGGCTCACTGTTTTCTAGGGCAAAGGGGAAACCTCTTTTTTTAATAATAAAAATTTTTGATATATTTTAATTTTATGTGTTTGAGTGTCTTGCCTGCATGACTTTAAGTGCACCCATGCTTGCACTGCCTTTGGAGGCCGGAAGAGGGCATTGGATCTCCTGGAACTGGAGATGGCAGACAACTGCTAGTATGGGTACTGAGAACCAAACTTGGGTCCTCTGGTGAGCCATCTCTCTGGCCCCCAAACCTCTATAATATACCTGCTTTACAAAATATGATATATATGCTTCTGACCCTCCTAAATACACATAGCTGATGTTCTAGTGAATTTAAATTAAAACCTTAGATTGAAAAGAGAAATGGAAGCTCATTAATCCTAGTATGGGTAGCAAAGAACAATTTAATGGTAAAACAAGACTCTTGTAACACATCACTAGTTTTTTTTGCTGTGTATTAAATATAAATATTTTATTGATTTAATCACCAGAAAAGTTATACCAAACTAATATTGTCTTATGATATTTATTTTTATTAAACTTTAATTTGTAGATAAAATGAATGTGTTTTGGGTGTGGGACCATCTACTGGAGCATGGGCAAACAACTAGGGGCCACATCCCTGAAGAAAACTAGCCCTCCCTTCCCAAGCAGCCATCAGTCTGGGAGGAGCTGGTGGAAGAAAATAGGGTATGGGTGTGATCAAAATACATTGTGTACATATATGAAATTTCCAATGCATAAATAAATATTAAAATATAAGCAGATAATAAAATTGATAAATTGTGCAGAACATAATGTTTATATATGTGTATATAGGTATGTATTGTGTGATGACTAAATCTAGTACCATATTACAAGGTATCATTTTGTGGCACTTTACATATACCCTATTAGCATTTTTCAGAACTACAGTATATTATCTCACATTTGTTCTTGGTAGATCAGATCCAGAGCCATTAAACATTTAGTTCCTTTTCTGTTGATCTGGAAACTTCATTCTCCTCAATTACATCGTCACCAACCTTCATGGAGTATGAAATCAACTTTTTTCTTGCCTTCTTCAAGCAAAACAAAGTTCTTACTTTTTTCATAAATTTTTATGTTTATATTTATTTTTATTAAATAATCAGAGTCAAGATTATTTGATATGAAAAGTATAAATAACAATAATATACAATTATAATGAACAGCCATGTGCCTATCATCCTAATTAGTGGAAAAACAGGATCTCCTGTATTCTCATCCCATTTTATTGAGAAATAACCACTATTCTACTGAATTTATATCATTCCATTTTTTAAAAACTTTAGTATTTTACCTTATTGGGTGTTTACATGTGTTTGAATTACGTGTTTATGGAACATACCTGCATGTAATTTTCTGCATCATACCTTATTGGTTTAATTGTATTTTCCTGAAATTTATCCCAATTTCTCTATGTGACTGTAATTTTTATGTTTTCCCCTAATTTATAATATTCCATTGCATGGATATAATCCAGTTTAATTTTCTGTTCCACTGCTGATAAGTATTTGAGTTGTTTCCAGATTTTTATAATTAAAAATTTGCTAGGATTAAGGATTGGCACGGTGCTTTCCATCAAGCCTGATGACCTATGTGTGATCCCCGAACCCACATGGTGAAAGGAGAGAACCAACTTGTGAGAGTTGTCCTTTGACCTCCATATGCATAGCATAGCATATGGACATATGAGTCCATGTATACACACACACACACACACACACACACACACACACGCACGCACACTTAAATAAAATTTTGATACTTCCTAGGATTAAAACCAATGAGTTTATTGGGCATGGTGGGTCCACACCTGTAATTCTAGTACTCAGGAGTCAGAGGCAGGAAAATGAGTTTGAGGCCAGCCTGGGCTACATAGTGAAGACCTCTCATAAAAGCAAAATAAATCTGGGTATGGTGGCATGCACCTTTAATCCCAGCACTGAGGAGGCAGAGGCTGGCTATTCTCTGAGAAATTGAAGCTACCATGGTCTACAGAATGAGTTCCAGGACAGCTGGGGCTACAGGGAAGCCATCAAAAAATAAAACAAAACAGCAGCAACAACAAAATACACCAAATAAAACAAATGGGAGACCCTATCTCAGAAAACAAACAAAAAATCCACCCCCCCCCAAAAAAATAAACAAAATAACCCACTGGGTCATAGTATATGTGGTATTGCCTAATTCTTTATTCCTAATAGTTTTTTTCTCACCCCTTTACCATATCACATCTATAGTTTAGACCCTTGACTATTTTAGCTGTTTTTAAGAGGAAGGTTGATGAGGATCCTGTTTTCTATAGTACTAGAAAAAGCAGCCCAGCTATTTGTTTCTGACAAGAACTTTTCTTCTACATCTAGCTCCCAATATATACTGCACCACCTCTCCATTCTAAGTATGTTGAAGAACGGCCTGGTTATTTACAAATGAGTTTTGCATCCATCCGTACTACAACTGTCCGTTATATTGGCTGGTGCAAGGTAAGTCTGTTTTGACAGTGGTTAAAATATCAGTGGTTTTTGATTATTTGTTCCAGTTACCTATTGATTTTTTAAAAATAGAGTAAAAAATTTTGATACTTCCTAGGATTAAAACCAATGAGTTTATTGGGCATGGTGGGTCCACACCTGTAATTCTAGTACTCAGGAGTCAGAGGCAGGAAAATGAGTTTGAGGCCAGCCTGGGCTACATAGTGAAGACCTCTCATAAAAGCAAAATAAATCTGGGTATGGTGGCATGCACCTTTAATCCCAGCACTGAGGAGGCAGAGGCTGGCTATTCTCTGAGAAATTGAAGCTACCATGGTCTACAGAATGAGTTCCAGGACAGCTGGGGCTACAGGGAAGCCATCAAAAAATAAAACAAAACAGCAGCAACAACAAAATACACCAAATAAAACAAATGGGAGACCCTATCTCAGAAAACAAACAAAAAATCCACCCCCCCAAAAAAAATAAACAAAATAACCCACTGGGTCATAGTATATGTGGTATTGCTTAATT